GATAAATTTTAAAACTAAAAAGGTCAGCTAATGCAAATTAGTCAAAAAATTAATTAGGTTAACTCCATTACTGATGGTTGTTGGAATGAAATAGGTTCCGCTACTTGACTTTTTTTATTATTATTATTATTAAAAAAAAATTAACAGCTTCTTAATGTCCTTTTTTTTATCATCCGAATTCACTGAATATACCTTTTTTTAATAATTTCTCTATGGCGTGCTAAATGATTAGGTTTGTGTTTGATACATTTTTTTTTTTTGATAAACTAACCTTTAATTCCATAAAAAGGGAAATATACAAACAATTCAAAACAGGAATAAGCAACACCAGCTAAAAGAGAAAAGATGCAAGGGAGCAAACAACCAAAAAAGAGTAATCATCAACGAAGTCGAGCTCAGTTAGTGACGAAAATAGTATCCCGCAAGAACATCAGCAGATGCCGCCAACAGTGGTTGCCAACAAGCCTGCAACCGATTAGATGGAGAGCAAGTCCGCCTCATCATTGACCATGCTAAAAATCTCAACCACACCAACCAAGCCAACGAGAAGTAGTCGCAAATCCACATCCAAAAAGCCAGACAACCAATCAACCACAACCAAAATCCCCCATCAACCTCGATAGACATCATTCAAACAGAAGAAACCGCCATATAATTGTTTAGATTTCATGCGACGACGCTTTCCCCCACTCAAGGAGCAATCATTTTCCACAAAAATGACCCACTTGAACCTATAAAATTCATGTAAATCCTAAGACAAGTCAGCCAAAAATGCTCCATCCCCTCCCGACTAAAAGGGGAAACATCAAACCAATCAGAATGGTCCACAGAGCAATCTCTCAACTTGCCCAAATGAGCTTGCAATGCAACAATGGATATTAGAGACACCGACACATCAACAAATTGAGCAGACATAAGAACCCCCACCGGTAAATCTGAAATAGTTACTGGAGAAACATCTGCTGACACACCCGACTTAGAGGATCCATCATCCACTATCTTATTAACTCCACACAGACCCTCAAAAGCTTCCACCAGATTTTCACCAGAAACACAACCACTAGGGGACTTCTCAACAACAATAGGAGAAACAACTCCAGCAGACACACTATCCCCCTCCAAAACAGTAGGAGGGGACATCGACAATTATCTGGGAGCAAACCGCATGCACAGAAGCCTCCACCAAGACTTCCAAAGGAGAAACCAAAACATCCACAGCAGCTGGAACATCAGCGAAATCCTCAGGCACCACCACACAACCAACCCTAAAAATAGACTGAATGCCATCCACATGGCCAACATTTATATCAACACTATTCAAAATAGAATCATCAACCTTATTCAAAACAGTAGGAGCTAAAGATAAATGGGGATGAAGGATCTAGCATTCAGATTTTGAGTGCCCGAGAGACTTATAATATGAACAATAAAAGTGAAATTCCTCCATAACCATCAGTTGAATATACCCTAAAGTTTCCATACCAACACACACTCTATGAGGATAAGATTTTGTAACATCCAATTTAACCAGGACACGAGCCACAAAAGGCCTACAACCAGAAGAGGTAGCTTGATCAATCTTAAGAGGACAACCAAATATGGAACCCAACCCATGTAGGATCCTAGGGGAAAATAGATGAGGGCGTAGGTTGGGAAAATAAATCCATATAGGAATAATGAGCGATTCAATCTCAACAACAAAGGTTGGCGTCCACTTAAAAATCTTCATGAAACAGTTATTCATAAAATAAGAACAGTGTGCAAACACACAGCAGTAGTCTAGGCCATTAACAAGTTTGATTAACACATGCATGGGATTAAGAACGATAACAAATAAGGATGCAAATGAACCGAACCTAGTTAAGTATGTGAGTGTTCATGTTTGAGTTTGTTTATTATTAGCTTGTTCAAGTTCGGTTCATTCAGTGCTTATCGAGCTTTAAACAAACAAGCTTTAACGAGTTATGTTAGTGAATATATTTAGCAAATTTTTTTACACTATCAATCAAAGACATTCATGAACAAATCTAATGAGTATTCTTGAGATATCAAATGAGCAAGATCATGAATATATACATAACTAGTATTTTCGAGCTACCAAATGACCTCGTTCACGAACAAATGATCTATGATTCATCTTATATTTGTTCAGGATCATTTTAAACAAACAATCTTGCAAATATTGACAAATATGAAATGACTCTTGTTCATGAACAAATTCATTCTATTGAATGTGTAAAATAAAATGAAATTAAATTTAAAATAAAAGCAATTGTCTATTTAAAATGAAAATATGATTACTCTATATGAATGTATTTATCAAGCTCATTCATGAGTTCTAAATCGAACACGAGTCGAGCTTTTATCGAGCTTTTTATCGATTTTAATATCGAGCATGTTCACGAGCTTCAAATGATGTTGTTCGTGAACATAAATGAACAGAACACATTAGTGTTCAAGCTTGTTTATTTAAGGACCGAGTATTAAAAATATTATAATGTTTATTTTTTATTTAGTTAAATGATCACAAACGAGCTTTAATCAAATCGAGCAACATGTAGCTCATCGAACGTTTGGTTCGCTTGCAGCCCTAGTAATAGAAAATTCACAAATGAGCTTGAGGTTGAAAAAAAATTTGCGAATAGCCTCAAGCGAAGGTCTGTGTGAAGGAAATTTTCCGAGCAAAGGAAGTCAAAAAGAGCCGCTAATGCTAAAATTTCCTCTTCCGAAATCCACAATGACGGTAAACCATGGAAAGATGCGATTTTTAGGTCTAGGAAAAATGAGGTGGAAAAACCACTAGATAAAGCATCACGGAAAGACTTAGAGGTAGATTTGTCAGCAAAAAAATCAGGATAAGCCAGGCATTTGCCCACCATCGACAAAAAACGACGACGAGAAACCAGCCGAAAGAAGAACCCAAACAAAAATTAAGAAGAAAACATAAAAGGGGATTTATAAACTTCATTGAGGGGAAAAGAGCCACTGGCAGTCACGAAAAGGGTAGCAGAGAAGGAGGCTCCGATCGGGACGAAAACCCTAGCAGAGCACCTAGAGCACAAGACAAAGAGTGAAAATATATATACTCATGAGTAATAGGTTTGTGTTTGATACATATCTTAATTGCATTGACCCGCTTAGCTATGATAAAATAGTCGAATCGAGCGAGTTTTTGTTTAATTGAGTCAAGTTTTTTTAAAAATTTATATTGATTTTTAATTCGAGCTCGAGCTCATTTGCTTAGCTTGAGCGAAAAATATAAGGCTTTAGTTTGACTTGAATGCTCGATCAGAAAAGAATGAGATTGACTCTATTTCAGCTTGATTTTTTATTTTGAGTATGAACAAAAATTAATTAATAATGTTTATATAAATGTCAATGTTTTAATTAATATTAAACGAGTTTGCTTGACAAGTTGGTGAATCAACCGGGCTAGTTTGAACTCGAGCATGAGCTCATTTATAGAATGTGCTCGAATATAAGCTCGAATGCAAACTTGCAACTTGGTAATCTCAACTCATAAACTCATTAGTTAGTAGAGTTCAAACTGGCTAATAAGCCGGCTTGGGTCACTTTAACACTAACACGTCCGCCCATCATGTATAAAGATGATGGGCACTATTTGTTATTCTTTATTTTAAAAGTGTAAATTAAATTAATTTTTTAGAATTTTTTTATAATATTTATTAAATTTAAAATTCATATTAAATTTTAATTGCACCCTGCAAATTTAATAATTTTATCATCTTAAAAATATTTTTTAAGTTCAAACTGTCAGAAGATGCTTATAAAGTATTAAATAAAAGGTCACCATTATACCCAGAAGATAAAATATTTTAAAAAATATTAAAATAATATTCTTTTGTCGGAATTTAAATGTTAACTAATTAGTTATATATATATATATATATATATATATGTTGGAGTAGCTCTAATGGAAAATAAGATTAAAGAGATGTTTTAGATGGTTTGGTCACATAAAAGGTTGAGCTTCTTATGACGGCATGATTAGGAGAGTAGTTTTATTAGATTTTGCTTATGTTAAAAAGAGAGATTATTCTGTGCGGCGTCCGAACGCGTCCGGAGGCGAATTCGGATGCACCACATCACCTAGTGCATTGGGCCCTGGGTGATGTGGTGAGTCCGGATTCACCTCCAGATGCGTTCGGACGTCGGACAAAATAATTTTCTGTTAAAAAAGGATAAAGGTATTCCTAAAAAGAATCAATTAGAAACTATTATACATGAATTTTTTTTATTAGATTTAAATAAGAATTCGACTCTTAACATGACACAATAGAGAAAAAAGATTCAGGTAACTGACCCCACTAGGGGTGTAAGTGAGCTGAGTTGGCTCGTGAGTTTATGAGTTGAGCTTATCGAAACATTTGCACCCCTAAACCCTACATATGTAGTGAAATAAATACTTGATGTTGATGTTAGTTTTATATTATATTAATATCAAATGTGAATATATTTGTGAATATTTTCACATAAATGTGTCCTTTCTTAAACTCCAAGGTATTTTTGTTAATTCCATCTCCTTAGAAGACATTTTTATTGAATTGCAAGACATCTTCTAAAATTTTGTAATATAATGGTAAAGATAATTTAAACCAAGTATTTTTATAAGGTCAAAAGTAATTATTAATAAATTAAAATAAAATTTTAATATAAATTATAATTTTTGAAAGTAGGGAAAAATAATAATCAAATAGAAATTATAATTACGATTTAAATAACAAAATAGTAATGAAGGTGTTCCAAATTGAAGAAATTATTTTGTGTGGAGTTCAGACAAGCAGAACCGTCCGGACTGTTGTTGGCATAAATTATGTCATTAAAAAGAAGAAGAGAGATAGAGAGAGGGCTGGATAATTATTATTTCTGGGACATTTAGACAAATTCATATACACATCACATACTCAAGAATAGAACTTAAGATCTCTTTATTGATAGCGAGAGCTCTCCATCAACAGATCAAAATGAGCTGCGATAGCTGGATAATTGTGAGTGGGGCAAATGAACAAACAGTTTATTTGCATCTTCTGAAGGGACTATCTACGATTTCTTCACCATCAGAAAGCCCTGCAATCTGCGGCAATAAAACTGTAAATAGCCACATCAATTAACTCACCCTTTGAAACCAAATACTTCCTCAGCACCCCCTCGTTCTGAAACCCCGCCTTCTCCAACACTCTCTGCGAAGCCGGATTATTCAAGAACACCAAAGCCTGCACCCTCTCCACCTCCGGCCACTGCTCGAACGCCGCCGCCACAGCCATCCTCACCGCCACCGTTGCAATTCCCTTTCCCCATAACTCCGGCACAACGCTGTATCCAATCGAAACCCTACGCCGTCCTCCGCCGGCATCTTCTGGCCGGAGCACGATTGACCCGATTGGACGATCGTCGGTGGCATCTGATAAGCAGATGAAGCGGAACCAGGGGTGGGGGAGGATGATGGTCTCGATGAAGCGGACGGCATCGTCGGGGCCCGTGAATGGATCGAATTGGAGAGTACGATTCACGCGTTGATCGCTGCCGAAATCCATGACGGCGTCGAAGTCGGTTCTTGAGGATTTGAATGGACGGAAAAAGATCGCCGGCGGCTGATTCTGAATTGAGTCCTGATTTCCGAGATGCAGACTGGTTTGCTTTGCCTCCATTCTGCCTGGAAGGTCAATGGAAGGTAATATGAGCTTTCTTATGATTCAACCCTCGTTCACAAACCCAAATCGTTGGTCGTCATAAAATTTGTCGTTCTTCTAATTTCAAATGAAGACTGTTCTGCTGTACAGTTATTCAATTATTATTTATTGTAAATTTTTTTGGCACGTTACAGATTTGGTATCAAAACTGACTCGTGAGCCGAGTCGAACTCAACTTGATAAATAATTAAATGATTGAATTATTCAATTATTATTTAATCATTGCATGCTTATATACAAATATGTTCCAGCTGCTTGCAAGGTTCAAACAACCAGAACCCAAATCTTTCACGGAGATCTTCAAAATCATTTCGTGAAGCTGGGCTGGAGGAGTGCTTTAAGATATTTTGATAAAATATTTATGGTCAGAACACTATTATTGGAGTCTCTATTCTTTCAGGCACTCATATTTCTACCTTGTGTCAATATATTTGCCGAGTTTACATGTTTTTCCTTCCCTTATTTGATGATCAAGTCAATTTGATATAAATGTTCTCTCTCATATTAAATTTCAGCAAAATACAATCCAATCCATTGTCAGCACAACTGCTACAACAAAACAATTTCAATCCCAATACAAATTTCAAACAAATAAGAACAGAACAAAGTGGACAAATCAAGTAACCATATAGAATGACAAGTGCTTGCAACTCGAGTAAGAGAGAACTCAGAAGGCAGGCAACAGTGAGACAGATGAAGCCAACAAGGGAAGGAAGAAAACAAAAGGCATGAAATTGGCAGAAGCTTCAGCAGCTGAGGACTCACCGGCCTCCCACTACCTGTATTGAAATCAAACACAAAACCAGTCATACAATTGGCCTTATTTACAATCAATAACGGTATAAATTTTTATTTTCAGATGAGAGGGACATTCAAACCTGCAGGAATGGTCGTCAAAGAGGAGGGACTGGATGCGTTGGTTGGAGTTTGGTCGCTAGGAGTCTCCTGTGAAGCTGGAGCCAGTGCTCCCAGAGGCGACTGTGCTGCTGGTGTTTGTGTGCTTGAGGCAGCTGCCATAACAACAAATCTAAGGGTACATTTTGCTACAAGTAATTTTTAATTATAGCAGCATTTTGTAAATCCTTTAAATCAAGATATAGTAAAATTGGAGAGAAATAAAATCATAAACTTATTTGACATGCAACAGTTAAATTTTTTAATCCTAATAGACTATTTGCTTTAGGATTTAAAATGTATGAAAGGAACAACAATAACAACAACATCAAGCCTTTGTCCTACTACGTGAGGACGGCTACATGAATCATTTTTTTGCCATTGTGTCATGTTAAAAGTCAAATTCTCATTCAAATCTAATAAAGAATGATCATTTCTAATATTTTCTAAGTCTTTTTAGGTTTACCTCTACCTTTATTAACATAAGTCAAATCTAATGCCTCAACTTTCCTAATCAGGTCATCGGAAGGCCTCCGTTTAATGTGACCAAACCATCTAAGGCAATTCTCTCTAATCTTGTCTTCCATTGGAGCTACTCCAAGCTTTTCACGTATATGCTCATTTCGTATCCTATTTCTAAGCGTAAAGCCACTCATCCACCTAAGCATCCTCATCTCTGTAACACTTAACTTAATTTTAAGTAAAACCTCGCTTAAATCCTGCCAAAAATATGATATCAATGTAAGGTTTGCCTTGAAACTAGAGGGAAATTATTAGGTGCGGACCCCGGACATAGAGATGCATCCGGATTACTTAGCTTGATGCCCTGCGTACGTTATGCTTACACTCTGCGTACGCTATGCGTATGCTCTGCTTACACTGCGTATTTTTAGATACACAGCAAATAAGCAGCAAATCCTCACAACTAATATTTGCTTCTTATTTACTGCAAAAACGCAGTAAATACGTAGTGCGTAGGTAGAGCTTAAGCATAGGGTTCGCAGTAAGCCGGAAAGCCGCCGGAAAAATCCGCGGGAAAATTTTGCGGGAAATTAGCCGTCGCAAAATTTTGAGGGGAAATTAGCCGTCGGAAAACCGCCGGAAAGCCGTCGGAAAACCGCCGGAAAGCCGCAGGAAAAGTTTGTTGGAAATAAGACGTCAAAAACCGCCGGAAAGCCGCCGGAAAATTGACCGCCGGAAAGCCGCCGGAAAATTCCGCCGGTAATAAGTGATTTTTCTGTAGTGTTCGGAGTCCGCACTGAATAATTTCCCGAAACTAGCAGCCTAGGATTAATGCAGAAGATAGGAATGTGATGCTTACCATTGCACTGGTTTGCAAGGGGGTTATCAATCTTACAAGCTCCAGGTAGCGAGAGAGCCTGTGCCTGGTTTACAATCGTACCAAGCTGGGTGGCAGTTGAACTGCCAAGGAATGAGCACAGGCACTGGGCTTGAGTCTTGACCACAGCTGCCACCTGAGTGCAGCACGAGTCCGAAGGGGTTACTGAGTTGCTAGTTATGTAGCCAAGGCAAGGGGAGAGGCTGGTGAACGCTGGCATACACCCCACCTGAGCTGATGAAGGGACAAAACACATTGATATCATCAGTAGCACAGCAAGGCTGTTCTCGAAGACTTTGCCAGCCATTTTCAACGATCTAATGTTGTAGAATATTGGTTTGAGTGCTTGAGAGAAGAAGGCTTTGGGACAGATCTTGGGATTCGGAATGTATGGGATTTATGGAAAGCTTTTAGTGACAGTGGATGATCCAACTCTCCAACTTTTGTTTGGTTGTTGTGAGCCGTTGGAGCTGTTTTGAAGTATAGTGGTTTAAAGCTGTGCTACAGTCTGATACAGTTTAGTTGCTGAGTGATGTAAGGCAATTTCAAAATGGAGATGGGACCCACTGATGCTTAGTTTAGTTGGTGGATTTATAGAGATCTTTTAGAGACAGTGGATGATCCAACTCTCCAACTTTTGGTAGGTTGTTGTGAGCCGTTGGAGCTGTTTTGAAGTATAGTGGTTTAAAGCTGTGCTATAGTCTGATGCAGTTTAGTTGCAGAGTGATGCAAGGCAATTTCAAAATGGAGATGGGAAGAGGGACCCTCTAGGGGCGGATCTAGCCTTAATTTTCAAGGGGGCAAATTTATAAGTAGCTTTTTTTTTTTTTCCATAAATATCCTTACAATCAAAATTTGTTCTGAGGGCGCTTCCTCTCAACCAATATTTGTTTATCGTTATACGCTTCGCAAATATGTCGAGGGTCCAGGGGGTAGCGCCCCTTGGCGGGGTTCGACTTGCCCGGTAAGGTCGCGGGGTCAAGGTGCATAGTGCCTAGAACAAATTTTGGTTGTAAGAATATTTTTGGATTCTCTTTGCTATTTCTCTTTGTATTTGGTTTATCGATCTCTAATAATAACATCTCTACACAATGTGTTTAACTATGTTGGGACAATTGCCTAAAGACTGTAGTATTTTAAAACTTTTAGGAGGGGCAATTGCCTAAAAACTTTCGTAATAAAGACTAAAAAATACATGAGGCGGATAAATGACCTAAAGAATCATATAATCTGCCCATGGGACCCGCTATAATGAATCAGAAATTTATGGTGAACAGGTATAACTAATTGCTGTGTATTTTTGTTGCAGGTGAGGTCTTCTCCAAGGGAAATGCATTTGTAACCTAGACTAGAGAAGGAGAAATAAAACAAACTGAATAAGAATTTTCTTCTTTGCAGGAAACAGTATAACTGTCAAGGTTTATTAGAGGTTCATATTAACAACATTCCCTACAAATTGTTTGAATATGCAAGAACAATCACTTCAGGGAATACTGTATTGATATAAGAAGTACTTTGCGGTCAGATTATTGTTTTGTTTGGTGCAGCTTTCGTACTGCTTTCTAAATAATTTTTTATTATAACATTTCATGAAATTCACAAATTGATCTAGGCGTGTTGGTTGAGGGATTCGAACAACTTTTTTCCACGAGAGATTTGTGATTAAATCCTCTGTATGTCAATTTATTTTTCCTTTTTTTATCAGCCGTCCGATCATAAATGAGTTCAAATCCACAATAACAAGCAGAAATATCATTAAAAAAAAGATAAAGAAAAAAAAGAAGAAGAAGCAATCACTGTCAATCTATCATTCTTTTTTTACTCCTTTCGATCCGAACTTGACCCGAATTGGGACTCCTAATTTTAAATTCTACTCAAATTTTGGTTTACAAACATTCCACAAAATTAACACTTAAAATCATAATAAGGACGACAAATATGAATAAATTTTGAAAAGATACAAAAAGGTGCACTGAATAATAAATTAAATAAATTTTTTTAAATTGCATTTTTTTTTATGAAAAAATGACCATTTTTTAAATTATGTTATCTCTGCTTAATTAATTTTAAGTCATGATCCTTTTTAAAATTTAGCCAATTTTGGCTCTTCTCATTCCTGCCTCCACCCAAATCAGCATTTTCAGAGATTGATAAACATCTACAACCTAATTTCAATTCTACTTAGATTATACTAAAGCTTCATTTGGGAAGATTTTCTTTTTGCTTCTTAAAGTAAATTTTTAGTACAAAAAATATAATTTTTTATTTAAAAAATTTGATTTAAGAAGCAGTAATAAAGCCGTCCAAGACGAAGCCTAAGCAAATGATCTCAATTCAGTATTGGCACTTTATGCTTTGTGCATTTAGGATTTGAACAACAAGAAAGATCCATGGGAAGAAGTCTTGGCGACATCGAAGTTACTGATGAAGAGCTCATATAGACAAATTTTTATTAGGTCCGATGTCCTGACGTAGCTCTACATCCGGACGCTAATAATATGTCGCCACGTGCTTTTACTCTTTACCGCGCGGCCCGACGATCCGAACCGGACCCGATATTGCTATGTATTGACTGATTTGTGCAGACCGGAGTTTTGCTTGGCAATAACGAGAAATATCATTCTGTCAAGACCAATACCTAGCAATACCCCAGTTTTGCTAGGTATTGCTCTTGACAGAGCAGTATTACTCGTTATTGCCAAGCAAAACATAGCAATACCAAACAATACCTAGAAATACCGAGCAATACCTAGCAATACCCGAACATAGCAATATCGGGTTCCGGTCCTGGTCGGGTCGTCGGGCCGCGCAGTAAAGAGTAAGAGCACGTGACGACATGTTATTGGCGTCCGGATGTAGAGATACGTCCGGTGTCCGGACCTAATAATTATTCGACCCATTCCCAATACAAGCATGACCGTTCCAATGATGTATATATCTGAAGAGGAACCATTGATTATCAAAAACAAAATCATTAAGAAATAATTGCACAAGCTCCAGCACTATGTTCATATCTCAAAGACTCAAACTGACACGCCCATAGATATATTAAAAATTCTAACATATAGGATGAAGTAGAATAGATATTTGTACGCTTGCTCAGGGGATACGCTAAAGAGATGCTACAGAAAAACAATCTTTGATGAGAAGTATGAGCAAGATGCCTTCAGAAAGCATTTGAAGGTAGTTTATGCTAATCAAAACCATTCTATGTTCAATGCCCTTATACTTATAACAATTCATTATCCACTTAATTATATTTGAGATCATCTTGATGCTTTGGCATACCTTTATACTTATTTGAAAATGAATCTACATAAAATTGATTTTTTTTCTCTATCAACCGGCCTAAATCATCATGGTCAACAAAAAATGACCATGGTCAATTAAGACTTAATCAAGTTAAGGTCTTCATTAAAAAAACTGGTCATTGAAGGGGGGTCCAAAATGACCCCACCTGTGAGTAGGATGTGTTGAACTTGTAGCATCATCAACTTCCAGATGAGTTTGTGGGGGAGGTAGAGTACCAACACGATGATGAGGATGTGCTTCACTAGCATTTTCAAATTACCGACCCATATTGTATTGATGATATTGTAGAAAGGGAACTCCATTAATTTATGATGACACTCTTTTTTGACTGACATCTTTCAATAGTAATAAAATTTGTGTTTGCTACTCTTCCATCCTTTAGATTTAAGTTTTTAAGTATAGAGGTTAAGGCTCCCCCCTTGCATGACTATAATGCCCATGATTGCCATATAGATTTTTGGTTCGATGAGTGTAAGCAAGAGAAATATATTATGAGTATCACTTCGATCAGCCAATGAAGAAGTATGTTGGGAATGTTTCCCACAGACAAAGTAAAACTATTATGTGCTAAAAATTTTGAGTCGATAGAGTATGTGTTTTACGTCTTAACGTTATATACAAATTCAATATCCATAAATAAAAAATTTAGGATGTGGATGCTGAATTTCACGTATATGCTCATTTCGTATCTTATCTCTAAGAGTCAAGCCACTCATCCACCTAAGCATCCTCATCTCTGCAACACTTAACAACATTAAGATGGTTTGGTCACATTAAACGGATGCCTTCCGATGACCCGATTAGGAAAATTGAGGTATTAGATTTGACTTACGTTAAGAAAGGTAGATGTAGACCTAAAAAGACTTGGTTATAAAATATTAGAAATGATATTTTTTTATTAGATTTAAATGAGAATTTGAATTTTAACCGAACATAATGACGAAAATGAATTCATGTAGCTGACCCCACATAGTGGGAGAAATGCTTGATCTTGTTGTTGTTGTTGCATAAATTAAAAAAAAAAATTATGAGGAAACCCTAAACAGAGAAAAAGTCATATGGAAATCTATTATATATTAGAAGATACATAGTTGAAGAAGAAAATGAATATTTGAGAATAAGATGTGTGATTTATCTTATGAGGGTTAATAGAATCAAGTGTCCACATATGAACAATAAACTCCTAACAACATGGCTTGATTTTCCCAGTAGGGATTATAAAAAGTAGGTGCCAACAGGTGGATAACCATACATAACAGAAAAGTTAAATATTATCAAAATTCTAGAGATAGTGGCGATTATTGATTGTGATCTTCAGTGGGGATATGGTGGTTGTCGATTGGTAACAACAATTGGTGGTGGTTGTCGACAATGATAGCTAAAAAATACAAGAGATCTCTCTAGTTCTCTCCTTTCTTCCCTCCCTTTCATGTGGAGAATGAGGCTTATTTATAGGCTTTTTGAGATAGGTATTTAGGTAATTTGAACTATAATCTAAAACACATTATTGCAAGGCACATATAATTTCCCTTGATTATGAATCATTTTTTCAGCATTTAAGTGTCTTAATGATGTTGGAATTGTGTGGCCTTGGACTCGTTGGATTCATCTTATCGAATCACTCGATCAATTAGACTATAATTCTATAAGCATATTAAATTTGGAGATCATTTTGTCATCCAATTAATGTTTGAAGTTTCAAATTATACTTTAGGTGTTTGTTTTGGACTCATTTAAGCTCAAATTAGACCACATTTGGTATCTTTGAGTTCGTTCCATTGAAATAATTAGTTCAACTATAAATTTGCTGAAATTGGAGTTCAGATAATCTTGAATTTAATTCTAACAATCTCTAATTCAAAATTTTGCCTAGATATTCGTGTTGATTAGCAGATTTTATATGGATATATCAATGATGATAGAATTGAATCCAACACCAAGTGTAAGGTTTATGATCCATCAACTTCTTAGAAAAAAAAAATTTTAGACTCCTAGCATCAAGGGCTTTGAAAGAATGCTTTGTGCTCGTAGATCAAATATATTATTACCATCGGACATTTCCCAACCACTTGGTTCAACCCTGGCGCAGGCAGACACATTGGGCTTCGCTTCAAGCCTTCAATGCAGGATCACCCGATCAATTTAATCAAGTGAGATAATAGTGATTTGATTAGTACTCTGGAGATCAGCCTAAACTTCAAGCAGCTTAGCTTTGCCCAGCAATAGAGTTATTTACGTTGATCAAACCAGTAAAAATATTTTACAACTATGGAATAATCCTCATCAAACAATTATCTGATATATATATTATCAAATTTACAATCGAAGGAACTGATCTTCAAAAGGATAAATTGCACGTACGCATCCTCAGACACAAGCTTCATGGACCATAAGCTATAAATTACAAAAGCACGAGAGATTATTCTACGCGGGTATCAGAAGGAGAGAATCGTCCCGTTGTCTCTCTATCAACAGTAAAAGGATGGCTGCTACAGTAAAAGCGCAGATAAAGAGAATATCGAACGGTTCTCTCCGTCCCGTGGTGTCTCCGCAGAAAATAATTCATCCAAAAGCAAACACTGAATACAAGAAAGCAAAACTCCAAAAGCCAGGCCACCCATCCAGTAATAAAATATTGACTCAGAAGAAGCTCGCCAGAGACGAGCCAAAGATCAAAGCAGCGAAGACTATGGACATGAGGGATTTATTCATCATGCCATCAGAGGAATCACCATTGGTTGACTTCGACCCATTGCCTGCAATCCAATAAGAAATTTTCAATTTTTCATCTAAACCAAAAAAATATAAAATTCAAATCGCATGCAAGTGTAAAAGAGTGCACCTGAAGAGGAACCTGTAGGTGCAAGGGAAGAAGGGGTGTCGGTGGGAGAGCTCGGTGCCTCAGGAGTTGTTGTTGGAGTTGATGGGGTTGATGGGGTTGAAGGGGTTGAAGGGGCTGTCGGAGTGCTTGGCGCCGCCTGCGGGGACACCGGCGGAGAAGTCGGAGTGCTTGGCGCCGCCTGCGGGGACACCGGCGGAGAGCCTGACGACCCACCTGCCCCAGCTGACAGAAACATATACCACGAAGAATTAGCAAGACTGCTATTGTTATTCGGAAGTTTTTATAAAAGTTTGGAGAAATTGGTTACCGTTGCATGCGCTAGCAGGTGGTGTTTGAACCTTGCAAGCACTTGGAAGGGCTAAGGCCTGTGTTTTATTAATAGAAATGCCAACTATAGAGCCTCCTCCATTGACCACCATGCAGAGGCATTGAGGCTGCGATTGCACTATACTGGCAAGCTGGGAGCAGCAACTAGAGGATGGAGTGGAAGAGCTGCCGGAAATATAATTCAGGCAAGGCGAGAGGCTGATGAGCGCGGTGGTGCAGCCTGCCTGGCCAGCTGCCGGAATCCAGAATGAAGCCGCCGTGATGGCAGTTGCCAGCAGGAAGATCTTCATCGCTTCTTTTGCCATCAGTTGTGTCTAAAGCTTGATGAAGGCTGCAAGGAAAGAAGAGAGGAGGGGAAGAAGATGACTGTGGTGTTGCTGGAATAGAAGGGGGGAGGAGGGAGGGGTCTTATAAGGTTGAGCTTCTGAGAGTCTGGCAACTGCAAATACATGTAGATCTGTGTTTTATTTGGGTGGGTAGCCAACTTCTGCCGGTTGCAATATTTTTAGGGGAAGTAGTTTACCGTTCCTTGAAGATCAGATTGCTGGTTGAGTAGAGTTGTATATTGTAACAATGAATCGATGAGTTGTTACATAGTGAGATAAAATTTGAATTTTTAATGTATTAGTAGCAAATCTTTGGCTTCTTTTTTAAAAAAAAAAATACTTTTGTAGAAGGTATTCTTCTAGGGGTGTAAGTGAGCCGAGCTGGCTCACAAGTCGAACTTATTGAATTTTGAGCTTGAGCTCGAGCAGAATTTCGAACTCGTTGAATTATCGGGCTGATCAGGTGATGTTCGGCTTGAGTACTCGTCATGCGGTTTGTCTATGCATGCGAAGGCATAAGCACGGGCGAATGCGGACCGCGGAAGCGCTGGCGAAGGCGAAAGCGCGGGCTGGTGAAGGCAGATTGCGGAAGAATCAAGAGCTGCTTGCGAGCTCATTTTCTATATATGGCATGAGCAAAGCTTGAGCTCGACTTGAGTTCGAGTTCGAGTTCAAGCTCGGGATTTAACTAGCGAGTGAAGCTAAAATTAGACTTGACTCTAACTCGACTCGACTCATTTGCACCTCTATATTCATCCCTGATTATTTTAATCATCCATTTGTCAACTGAGCTCTCCGATATTCAATAGCATATAATAACTGTTTTTAAAGTTGATATTATGATTGTGATCCAAATGATTGCAGGGATAGAATGTTTGAAAAATATAAATTGCTTCATCTTTTTGGATTGAATTAGTGTTAGTACAAATATGCTTTATATAAAAACTAAAGAAAAAATTATAAAAGAGGATGTCATCCACAATGAGGACATAATAAAATAATAAATACAATAAATTTCTATCATAAATATTAACAATATAGTATAACAATATAGTAACTAAAATTTATCCAACCGTTTGATTGTGATAGTGAGTAATTCTCCCAACCTATTTTCTTTAAGCAGGGCATTTCATGATAAGTTAATTAATTATTTAAAAGCCACATGAAAAAAAAAGATTATCTAAGATTAATGATCAAATTCCAATGGTTTTATAAAATTAGGCACAATTTTGCCAATATTAAACCGCTCAAAGAAGCTCAAATTATGTTGTAAAAAAATTAAAAATTAATTTGTTAATCATAAAAATTTTGATTTCAAGAAATTATTGTAATAGTTTAAACTCTCAACAATCAAGATATTGTCTACTTTGGACTAATGACTTCACGATTTTATCCTATTAGTGTAACTTTACAAGAAATCACTCATTCTAAGAGTGCTCATGTATGAGCACGCTTAGCACTAGAATTTTTATTGAAATTTCAACCATTAGATTAAAAACGTTTCAATATTCAAATGTTCAATTTTACTTTTTAAAGAGTTTCTCATTTATAAGAAAAATTGCCAGCTCTTACCGACGATTTTCTCAATGCCAAAATCATATAAATTTGAATTCATAAGACCTCAAAAAGTGAGGAAAAAAAGCTTTCAAAAATTATTTAAGAGTTAGACTGGGTATTTGAATAATTCACACCACGGCCTGAAAATTTGCATCACGGCCTCTCCACGACCCCTTTCTTTCTTTGAGTCATCATGGAGAGTTTAAACGCTTAAGTTATGAGGCAAATTCTCATAAGATAGACTGGGTTTTGAAAAAGATATTACCTAGAGATTTCACTCTCATTTTGCGAGGGCTTTATGATATGAGTTCATGTTTACTATAGGTGCAAGCCCTTATAGTTAATTATCCCTCCCGATAATGAGAGAGAACTTTTGATTAAGGTTGGTCATCAAATGGATACGTATTATCCGACATATAGTAGCAGTATGTTTAGGTATTTGAAAATTTAATACTTAAAATTAAAAATCAACATCCTCGTACTAAAAGCGGATGGTAGGAGGATGATGATAGACATGTTCAAGATCCCTCCCATGGTTCCATTGTCCTGGGTCATCATGGTCCTTGGTCTACTTAGTCAAAGGAGATAGTTGACCCAACCTGATAGAAGGATCATTGTCTGTAGCCATGGGTTGTTTTGTCCAAGGGTGTGAGCTCCAAAAATTCATACCCCGGCCTCCCCTGCATAGGAGAGTTTTAACGATGTTCCCGGTCAAATTTTCAGAAGGCAGATTAACTTTGGGATAAAGCACTACCCAGAGATTTCGCCCTCAATTTATGAAGACTTTATAATCTGGTTCTAGGTTTCCCATAGGAGCAAGCACCTATGGTTAATTACCCCTCCCGATCACGAGAGAGTACTTTCGATTAAGGCTAGTCATTAAATATGTACGAAATACCTAGCATATTGTAGAAACATGTAATTTTTTTTTTTTAGATTTATAAATTTATTATTTTTATACTTAAAGCGGATGGTGGGGGGAATGATGATGAACCCGATCAAGATCCCATGGTTCCGTCGTCCCGGGCCATCGTGGTCCCTAGTCTACTTAGTCATAGGAGGTAGTCGACCCAACCTGACAAAAGGATCCTTGTCGGCAGCCATGGGTTGCTTCGTCCAAGGGGACCTTGTAGACATGGGGTGGATGCTTGTTTAAGGAGACAAATTTTAGTCAACATTAGCTAACAGAAAGCTTTGTGCATGCCTTATTGAGTGCACCCTATGATTCATTACTCAAGGGGCTTTTAAACATTGGATAACATACGGGCTTTGACCGTAACTGTAATATAGTGGTGCTATTTTGCAGCAAAACCACCCGGTCAGAGGACACATGCCACGTCTCCGCTGGCGAGAAATCATTTGAGAATGAATCGCAGTGATACATTCAATTAGATATTTTGCTCTTTGCGAGCTGAAGTTATTCTGAAATTTATCATCCTTAACAAACGTTTGCGGATAATGGATGAAATTTTGCTTTAAGTTTTAAATAATAAATTTTATTTGAATATTATAAAATTCATTGAGATTTTGTGTCAAATATGCATGTTTTGAAGTTTGGGGGTATTTTAAATGTTTGAAGTCCCCTCCGGTGAGATTAGCTTTCAATACGGCCATCATCGGGGTGACTTTGGCATTTCAAAATATTTATATTTTGTAAAAATTTGAGGGCATTTGAAATATTTGATCCCCTCCGGTTGATATAGACTTTCAACACGGCCATCATCGGAGTGACTTTGGCATTTCAAAATATTTATATTTTGTAAAAATTTGAGGGCATTTGAAATATTTGATCCCCTCCAGTTGATATAAACTTTCAACACGGCCATCATCGGGGTGTTTGGCATGTATATTAGGCTTTTAAAATTTAAAATGCATGCTTTTCGATATGGTGACTTGCTTCTAAAGGCGATAGCACTCTTCTCTGAGCAGTTGCTTGCTTCCCAAGGCTGCTATACGCATTTTAGAGGTGTCAACACCCTTCTCGATGCATCATATTGACTTTTAGAAAATTATTTTTGTATGCAGAAGGGGGCATTAAACGCCTTCTGTCCGCTGGTAAAAGTGGTGCGGATTCGTTGGCATTTTGATTCTTTATTTATTTTATTTATTATAGCCTTCCATATAGTGTGTCTTTCGAGTGTACTTTAAATTTCATGAATCAGTATTCTCATATGTCTTCTTTAACAATCTGGTTGAAAAAGTTCACCTCCTTTAGCATATTACATCACAAAATAAATCTTTATTTTTTTGTTTGTTGTGTAGATGACTTCAGCAAATTGTGTCATATTTGGATGTCTCACTAATCTCATTATTGATATCTCATGTTTGATATGATCCATGAGCTCAACAATGAACCACTTTTCAAAATTTGGATATCTCACTAATCTCATTATTGATATCTCATATTTGATCTGATCCATGAGCTCAACAATGAATCTCTTTCCTTTGTTAATCATTTTTCTTGCCAACAGGGACGTGGCACGTGCCCTCTGATCGGGTGGTTTTGCCGCAAAATGGTACCATTATATTACGATCACGGCCAAAGCCCGTATGTTCCCTAAAGGCGTCAAACCCTTGAGCGATGGATCATAGGGTATATTCGATAGGCATAAAGCCCTCTGTCAGCTAAGGTGGATTCAGATCTATCCCCTTAGACAAACATCAACCCAGGCCTACAAGGTATTCTTGGACGAAGCAACCCATAGCTGCCGACAAGGTGCCTTCAGTCAGGTTTGGTCGACTACCTCCTCTGACTAAGTAGACCAGGGATCATGACAGCCCGGGACGACGGAACCATGGGATCTTGATCGGGCTCGTCTTCATTCCCCCACCACCAGTTTTAAGTTTATGGTGATAAGCTTTAAATTCTAAACTTCAAAATTCAAATCATAACATCAAACCCTAAAATTATTGCTATTATACGATAGGTTCATAACCTATGTGAACGCTTGAACGACTAGCCTTAATCAAAAGTTCTCTCTTGTTATCAAGAGGGGTAATTAACTATAGGGGCAGCTTGCGCCTATAGGAACCAAGAACTCAGATCAAAAAGTCCTCACCAAATGAGGGCGAAATCTCTGGGTAGTGTCTTATCTAAAACCCAATCTGCCTTTTGAAAATTCCCCCGGGATCACACATCCTAAAAAATGAAATTTTTCTGAGCCCACACTGTTGGAACCGTTCAATTGATCATTTTGACCCCTTTTTTGTATTAAGCGGCGGGACTCATGCCTAAAGGACACGATAGAAGAATTATTCAGTAAAACTCTTTTAGAAGAGGGCACGTAGATGTTAGCCTAGCAGATAAGTATTCTCTAAATAAAGTTGATAAGAAGACAAACTATTAACTATACTCTTTTTTTTTATAACATTACTTTTAAAATGTACGTGTCAGAAACATTTAAGTGATAGATAATTAACACTTGAGTATTGATTTGGATTTGATAAATATTAGCTTATTAAATTTTTAGTGGCAAAGATTTAGACAATACTAATGTCAATTTTGAGTATTTTTAATGTTCCGAACATAACAGAGAAATTCATTTTACAAACGGACGACGTTTGGGCAACGTCGAGTATGTCCGTAGTCCATCAATTTCGATCGCTTTCGTTCAATTTGATTGCGCGGGATCTCTCTTTGGTTAAATTCGATGCTCTAAACTCATCGACAAAGCTTGTTTACCAAGCATAGACCATTTGGATAGTGTTTTGCTAGCGTCACATCCACTAACACATTGTCGTTCAATCGAGTCACATACGAACAACTTGTATTTGGTATATTTGATGTCCTGAAGGCATCAATATGATCCATTTTGTAATCAGAAAAAGCTTTAATCAATTCACTATGATAGAGGCACTCCGATCTTCGTTCTAAATGATATCTTTTTTACCAAAAAAATAGATCACCGTCTTCATTACTTTCATTGACCGTGCTACATATGTAGAGGTCAACAAAGGGTACCTTGTAGACCTGGGGTTAATATTTATCTAAGGGAACAAATTTGAATTCACCTTAGCTAACAGAGGGGTTTGTATTCTATCAGTCATATTCTATTGATTTATTACTCAATGATTTAAAGCTGCTAGGGAACATATGGGCTCTGACCATGATATTAGTTTAGTGGTGTCATTTTTGGCAAAATCATCCAGTTAGAGGGTTTCGGTCATAATTGTTTACCTGTGGTGCCATTTAGTGGAAACCACCGGTTAGAGGACACACATTCCACGACATTCTTACTGGTAAGAAACGGATTTAGAATGAATTCTAGTGATATTCTTGATAAGGCAATTGCTCTTTATAAGCTGAAGTCATCTTTTTTCACCTCGACAAATTATTATAAAGGGTGTATGTATATTTTGCTTTAAATATTTTGATATTTTTATTTCAATTTTAAATATTAACATTATTGAGTGTATTTCATTAGAATTTAGGAGGCATTTTCAAATATTTCGGGTCTCCTCCGGTTCAGATTTTATGTTAACACATTCATCATTGAGGTCCTTATGAGCAATTTTACTTCATTGGTTGAACCTGGTCGATTCTGTCAACTTGCCGCTAGAAGATCAAGTTCATTATCGGCTTTATGCTTTTATTAGTGAGTTTTTTTCTTATTATAGACCTTGAATGTCTAATATGAATGCATAAAATAAATATCCTGATCGATGATGCAATCATATATTTACTTGATAGTTCTTGTCGTGTCTACTCATATCTACTCACATAGAAGGATCATGCTCAAACTAAAATTCATATTTGACCCGTGCAGCATCCTCATATGTCACATATATGCATACATCATACTTGTTGGGGCCCATATGAATGTTCATATTTTAATGCATGAGCAGGGAGCATTTAAATATTTAAATACAATTATTTGCGCTAGGTGCTTGTTTCTAAAATTTGTTCAAAATTTTATTTGAAACTTGAGAAATGCCTTCAGTCTGCTTATACGAATATTGCGGATCTGGTGGCATGGTATTGAACTTCACTCATTGTACACCAGTAGTGCAGTGTAGCTCATTTTTGCCTTATGCAAGTTGTTGTTTTCCATAGTACTTGAATTACAAGAGTGTACTTTTATTTGCAAATGAGCTACACATTACATTAGGAGTCTTCCAATTGTTGTTAACAAGCAGAGTAATTAATCTGATGTAGTAGACTGGCACCACTAATTTACTCTCTTTTTATCAATGGCACACTATTTTTACTACTGATTCCATATTTTTTTCTTACAGGTGAACCGTAGTATTGCACTATAGGTTATTTGTTGTTATATATAGGTAGACTGTCGTACACTGGAGAACCTCCTGCATTTTCTTGCAGATATTTGTATTCATCACAAGCCTTTGTCTTGGCTTGTAAATAGCTTGTTATTTGTATGGAAAGTCTTCTATAGTGACTCTTATATGCTTGCACTCTTTGCATATCACTCGTCTTTGCTTGCAGGAGATTAGTGTACTTGATAGATGTTTGCTTATTGTTGGTTATAGGAATAATCTAGCGTCAACTACATATTATTCATCATCACCTGTAGGTGGACTACCATGCATATTACAAGTGCCCATGCTCGGTCTGCCATATTTGCTGCAAAGATTCTATGCGCATTTACAGGCTGTTGTGCATGACAAGGTTCCTATAGTAATTCGTAAGAGTTTGTATGTATTGTAGCTCTGTTGTGCTATAGGTGTTTGCATTTGCTGAAGTTCTTCTATATTCATAATGATCTATGGTCCTTGATTGTAAATGATATGTTGCACATCCACATTCACACAAGGTCCTTCATCCTTGCAGTATACCTACTATTGTTGCTTGCAAGCAAGCTGATGTATTTGTTACAACTCCTCATCAGTGTTTGCAGGGAATTCATTGCACTTAGATCATGTCCATTGTTATTGTTCATAGACGGCTTAGGGTGTTCATTTGCAGCTAAGTAACTTTAACTACATGCAAGCTGTATTTGCTTTGAACTCCTTAAGCACATCTTGTTTGGCAATTCATCGCATGTCGGTCGTCACTATTTGCAGTCGGGTTAACATATTTGTTGGTAATTGATTGACGTGAGTCATGGTTAGTATGTATTTATTACAACCTCCCCAAACATGTTATGTTGGCGAGCTGATTAAATGTCAACATTCATCGCTTGCGTGGTTTAATATGTTTGCTTGCATGTTGATGTTAATTGCAAGACGTTACTATATTCATCGCTTGTTGCCTATGAACACCTTTGTGTGAATTTTTATGTGCATAATGAGTTTCCTACAATGGCTTGCAGGTATTTACATTTTTTGCATGATGCACTATGTATGTTTGAATGGAATTAATTGTTTGCCAACAGATTGGTGTGCTTGCTTGGAATTAAATGATATTGACTGCACACAAACTTCATTCATTTCGAATTTATCGAATGCATTGAATTATTGTGCTCAATGTATCTCAAATCCTTACTTGTGAGGGCAGTTGTATTTACTTGCATAATTAATATGAACAACACTATACTTGTTCTCATTTGCAGGTTTACTTGGTTGAATATTCAAGTTGTTTTAATTTTATTGTTTATTATTTGTGTGCATCTAAGGATCTGTTCACCATTTGCCTTTGATTGCATGCTTATATTCAATTTTTTTTTTTTTTTGTATCATGATTTGTAGACTTATTTTTAGGTGTTAGGTCCAGTTTCCTGTTTATTGATTTAAGTTCAATTCCATGTGGTCCATTTTGCAAGTTCAGTTCATTATTATTTGATTCAAGTCAAGTCCTATGTTTAGTTTGAATTTCGGTAGCCTCCCAACGTCTCCTTATTTTTGAAAAAATTTAGGGAGCTGGGTCTTCCCACCACGCTGTGAAGAGCATGCATAGTAGGTGCCGGGCAACACTACAGTCATGGTTATTAGATCCCATCATTCTGCAGAGAGCATGTATGAGTCTTCGAGATACCTCCTTTAAAATACAAATTTTTGTCACAGGCATGATGGAACATACATAGGTACTTAGGGTTTTACCAGCCACGCTACAAAGAGCATATATAGGGCATGCATGCCTCGCCACAAGCACTGCATCAGGCTCCCTCCCACCATGCTTTGAAGAGTGTGTATGGGTGGTCCCTAGTGCGTCGCCAGCGCCGAAAACATGATTTTTAGACTTTTTTGAGTTTTGAAGACATCATACCTTGCGCAGGGGTGACGAAGGCAGCAATGTCGAATGGTTGTGTACAATCCGGAAGTATGCAGTAAGTAAACAGTGCGTACGTAGCAATCCGGAAGATTCTCTATGTTCGGATTCCACACAGAATAATTTCCCCTCGAATGGTTGTGGAGTTCAGTCAGTTTGAGCAAGGAACCGAAGGAAGTTGTGTGCAGGAAAGAAGATGAACCGAGAGCTCCGTTCGTTTCTCGTTTTATCAATGCAAGCGAAGGCGCGATCTAGGAGAGCATGAAGAGACAATTCAACGCCGAATGTACAAGGCATAGGTAAGTAGCAGACAGGATTTGCACAGGTATTTCTTATTTGATGATGATTTTTTTTTATTCTAATAAAGGTCAACAAAATGATAACAAAAAAAGTCAAATTCGTGTTCATTTGACCATAAAAAATATTAAAAACTTTGGTAAATTTCTAAAATGTGGCCCACCACTTACAACTTCCTTCACTATGTAACTCAAGTCTAGGTTGACTGCACACAATTCATGGAAAAAATCTAAAATTTTGGCTAAAAATTTCATCTCATCAATATCAAAATTCCATCACTATTTTTCTATAACCCAAAAGTTGGGCTAAAATTTCTTATACAAGTCTGAAATGTATGAATTCTCAATGGCATTGGTTTCATCTTGTCCAGAACATAACACTTTTATTATAATAACCTTAACTAGATTGGACGACCTCACCTGAATAGGTCCGATGTGTTTCATACTAAGGCTTCCGTTAGGAAGGCTTTTAAACTGCTTCTTGAAGCAGCTTTTTAGTACAAAAAATTTAATTTTTAAACTAAAATGCTACTTTAGAATCAGTAAAAAGTTATCCCAAACAAATCCTAAATTTGCGGAGCACGCCATCTTCCGCCCTTGAGATTTCTACAAGAATTTCATGTATTTCGTTGGATTTGAGAAGTTTGGATTTTTTTTCTAATGTTGTTGTTCCTAGTTGGTTGATGTGCTATCATTTTTTAGGATGTAGGCAGCTTAGCTTTCCCTAGCAATACAGTTATTAAGCTGAATAAAATCTGTCAAAAGACTTTGCAATTACAGAAAAAATCTTTTACTATTCAATCTCGACAAACAATAATCAAATACATAATATCAATTTTACAATCAACTTAAAAATGGATAAATTGGACATTCCTCAAACACAGAGGCTTCATAGAATAAAGACAATAAATTACAACAGCAAATCAATCCTCTAAAAGCCAAAACCCAGAAGTAAAATGTTCACTCAGAAGAAGCTCGCCAGAGTTGAGCCAAAGATCAAAGCAGTGAAGACTATGGACATGGCCGATTTATTCATCCTGCCATCAGAAGAATCACCATTGGTTGACTTCGAACCATTTCCTGCAACCACATAAGCAATTTACAATTTAAAAGATGATCGGTTTGTTATCACTCATTTTATCTTTCAAAAATGAAATCTTTTTTTATTTCTATATGCAAACAGCAAAATGGTCCTTGGAAGAAAATGATGTACCTGAAGGGGAGCCTGTAGGTGCGGCAGGGGTGTCGCTGGGAGTTGTTGATGGGGTGGTCGGAGTGGTTGGCGCCGCCGACGGGGACTTCGCCGGAGTGCTTGAAGACCCACCTGCCCCGGCTGACAGAAACAGAAACCAATCAAAAAAATTAGTCTTTTATGGTTCGGATTAATTCCAAATTGTTCAGAAGCATTTGTAACAGTAAGGAGAAATTGTTTACCCTTGCATTGGCTAGCAGGTGGTGTTTGAACCTTGCAAGCACCTGGAAGGGCTAAGGCTTGTGTTTGATTAATAGAAATGCCTACTATGGAGCCTCCTCCATTGAGCACTGTGCAGAGGCATTGAGCCTGCGCTTGCACAACGCTGGCAAGCTGGCTGCAACAACTAGACGAAGGAGTGGACGAGTTGCCTGAGATATAACTCAGACAAGGCGCAAGGCCGATGAGAGCTGTGGTGCAGCCGGTCTGGCTGGCGGCCGGAATCCAGAGTGAAGCCGCCATGACCACGGTCGCCAGGATGATCTTCATTGCTTCTTTTGCCATCACTTGTGTTAGAAGCTTGATGATGATGATGATGATGATGAGGAGGAGGAGGAGGAGGAGGAGGAGGAGATGGCTGTGGTGGTGCCGGAATAGAAGGGGTGAGGGGGAACTTATAGTGCTGTGTTTTTGATAGGCTGGCAAATGCAAATGAAGAAGGCGTGTTCTGTTTTTGGGTGGGTAAACAACTTCCTGCTGCAATTTTTTATTGGGAAAGTAGTTAAGTGTTCCTTGTAGACCAGATAAAGGGTTGAGTGTTCAATATTAACAGATTAATGTGCCGTTATATTGAGAAATAAAAGTTGAAAAAACTTAGTGTTTTAATAGTCCTTTTATTCTTTTAGTTTTTAACTTTAGGTGAGATTGTATTTATTCATTTGTCTATTATGCTTAACTTGAAATGATTTTATTCATCCATTTGTCTCTTATGCTCAACTAAGCTCCCCAATATTCAGCAATATTTAATAAGAGGTGATGCATCCATCCAAACATGTTTGAATCTCGAGATAATATTTGAATTATAAATTTTTAAAATTTAATTTATGGACATCTTAAATTTGAATTTGGCAAACTTATAGTCAAGTTGAACACGCTGACATGCAAATCCAACAATACGAAAAGTAATTTGATCAAGATCCAAACTAACTCGAATCAAGCACTTAAAACTTATTTAGAAACTTTGGGGCATTAAGTGAATGACCAAGTGATCAATAAATCTTATATGCTTATAGTTAAATTGAGAGGCTCGTGAGATGAAACTAGTATGCTCAAAATCATTTGATTCCAAGGTCTTTTAGGCCCCAACTATTGAATGAATGGTTTAAGGTCAAAAAATTCAATATGGGGCATTTGATGGAGTCTTATGAAAATTTGGTTGAATTTATCAAAATATCAATATCAAAAAATTGTAAGTTGAGTCTCATTATCCATGCGAGAGGGACCTAGATTTGAGTTTGAAAAGAGATCAAAGCTGTAAAGGACTCTAGAGCTCTATATGATGTTTGACACTAACAATCACTGTTAATCACTGTCGTTCTCCAACTATTGTTGCCAGCTCATAGTTGCCTGACTATCATCATCTGATCATTATCATCGAATCATCACTATTTGACCATTGTCATTTAGCCATCATAGTCCATTCATCATAAATTGGCCATCATTATCTAATTATTATCGCCAGACCACTGTTGTTGCTTGACTAGTGTTGCCCAATTGACATATTCTGACTACTACACAATCCCTCCATTATTTCTCCAATAATCTATACTTTAACTATAAGAGATCAAACAAGTGATCCAAATATTATAATCTCGCCTTTTTTAGTTGTTCGAAAAATCAAGCTTCTGTAACTTCAAGTACATGTAAATTATTTAAATTGGGTCGGCCCTCATGTTTTTCTCACTAATATTTTCTTTCATCTGTATGTGTTGAATTTTCATACAAAATAAGAACATAAAATTCTCACCGCCATGATGAATTTTCTAACAAGTAATATATGATACCAAAGTTGCACATGATTGAGAATAAGTTTGGGTGACTCGTGACTCGTGCAAACTACACAATAATGCACGCACTTGATTTGTTATAAGTAATGAAAAAGCTCTTTTTCTAGTTGAAGTGATGACTGATAATAGAACTTCTATGTGATTGAGAGATTATTTAGATGCACCTCTTTGTGGTTGGAGAATAGTCTTGTAACAGAGTGGAGTTTCTTAATGAAATTCCAGCCATTATATCAAAAAACACCTCGATGTTTAAGAGTTTAGCATCTTTTACTAAGGGGTTTTACAAATCTGATATTTTTCATCGACCAATGCTAATGCTCGAGATCCATTGTTGCCTCTTGTTCAATGCCCGCAATGAATTGACGTTTATTCCCCACCATCATTCAATGTCCATAATTGCCCCTTATCGACATCCATCGCCAATCGTCGACAAAAGCATGAACCATCATTATTATAGAAAACCCCTTACATTCTAAATATTTAAATATATCATAATCTCACATCATCATATCACGAAATGACAGATCATTACAATTCTTAATCAAAATCACTTTCGACGAAACTAGCCCCCATAATTTTTTCCACACGGCATCTTTCACATAATAAAATTTATATCAAGTAAACTAAGACGACGCAAGCTTCAATTCGTCCAATCACCCCAAATTTTCTAGCACGCAACAATATTGATTCGCCCACTAGCATATCATGGCTTACTTAATCTCCAATATTCCACCTTCTCTAACATGTCATGCTGCAAATAAATAATGCACAGAGAAATATTTTCTACCATTTGGAAGAAGAGTTGGTAATGGCGGCTTCTCAAAAACTATTTTCAATTTGTGCCTTTACGTAGTTTGATGGCCAACCTTTCTCACATGGCAAGCTTTTACAGGTTGTCTTACTTCAGCTTCTAATTGGATTTATCTTTTCTTATAACTGTTTGACTCTGATTTTCAATTCCTCTATCGATCGTTAGAGAAGAGAAGGGAAGAGAAGCTTTCTTTCCTCATCTATGATAGTTTCTTTGAGGTTAGTTAAGCTACTAACATTATTTAGTTTTATAAATAAAGTAAGCATAAATAAGTGATTAACAAACGTAATCTTTGGAGCAGATTTTATTGATTTGGCTTAAAGGAATCAATTATGATCTTCTTCTTTTTTTTTTGCATAATTTTTTGGAAATAATATGTAGATTTTTAATTAATGAGATAAATAAATTGATGCTGAAAAAAAAAAAGAAATATAAATCTGATTTAAAGAGCATAAATGCCAAAAAGAGTTGGTGAGTAGGTGGTCAAAAACAAGTAGAAAGATATTATTTGCTTCCTTCCTTGCTTCTTCCTACAAGCAATAAAAGGTTGCTTCTAGATAGAAAAATATGTTTCAAGAATTATTTATTTCAGAAAAATAAAGCATTACAGAAAATTTTTATATAAAAAGTTCTAATTAAAAATGGTTGTTATAAGGGCATCTCCAACCAAAAATTTCATTTTTCACTCCAAAATGCACAGAAACTCAAAAATGTTGTGATTCATCTCCAATCGAACTCCATTTTGCGGGCTTCTGCAGAGTTAATGGTCTTTCTCCTCTTTGGCACGTTTCTTCGGCAAATTCGGTTGAGACAGAAAAATAGCGTTGGTGAACAGTGTCACGCTAATATTGGCGTTGCACTGTTCATCCACAAGCAAATTGCGGAAGATTTGACGTTCGGCTGAAGCGACCGAACGACGACGCCATAGGCATGTTTGATTTTAGGTTGGAGATGCTCTAAATTTCAAACTGATTTATAAATTTTTTCAACTTGATATTTAAAAAAGCTATCAAAATAGCCTAAGCAAGCTTTGATTAGCCGCGTTTCAGAAGTAAAAAAAGAAGTATTGACGATTAAACTAACTTGTCAGCTCTTGAAACTTCTCACTTTGCCTGATTTGATCACAGTTGGCTAAAGTTGGTGATCTCCATAACCAACCTTTGATCTACCACTTCGTCAATCCAACTATATAATCAGCTTAATCATTCTAACTAAAAACAGAAAATCCTGAACTTAGAACAAGCAATCTGCTAGCTAGCTAGCTTCACAATCTGTTATCAGAAAATACCAAGCCATAGCCATGAAGAGCTACTCATCAGCTTTCTTCTTCTTTGTCATCATCTTCTTCTTCTCTGCTCATCTTCCTTTGTCAAATGGGCAGCAGATCTCAACACAATGTACAGGCTTACTTTTACGCAGCTTCACACCCTGTTTAAATTTCCTTACTGGAAGCACTAATGGAGGTGGTTCTCCTTCATCAGAATGCTGTAAATCTCTTGGTTCTCTTATCAGTAGCAGCACACAGTGCGCTTGCCTTGTAGTGACTGGTTCAGTGCCTCTAAGTGTGCCTATTAATAAAACGCTTGCCATCTCACTTCCTCGCCTTTGCAAGAGCACATCTGTTCCACTTCAATGCAGTCCTGGTTTGTTAATTCTTCATTGTTCTTTCTCTTTTTAGTAAATTTCTGTAGATTTTACGTGCTGCAAATTGATTTCAGAAGATTAAAAAGATCATTTTGATCTTTAATAAAAAGTCAAAAAGATCATTTTGATCCTCTTCTCTTCGAATTTAACAATTTTCAATTATTTGCAGATGTGGGATCACCAATTCCAGGTCCAGGTCCAACCAGCTATTCACCTTCTCTTCCTCCACTGCCACCTCAGAGCTATACACGTAAGCCACCTTTTTCTTCAACGCTATAGCCATAGAATCAAAAATGGACAGTACAAATTCAACCGTTAAAAAAAAAAGTTTTTTTTTTTTTTGACCTTTTCCTTTCTCCTCCTTGCAGCTCCTGCCGGAGTAGGGGACTCAGCACCACCGTCCAGTACTGTTCCATCTTCGCTATCTCCTCCGGCGATCACATCTCCACCGTCCCCACCTACCACTCCGGCAGACCAGGGGTCGAGTCAGGGAGGGTCTAGTCAGGGGCTACAGCCATTGATTCTCCCTAGTTCAGCTTTCAAGATTTCAGCCGTACACTCCTCCATTGTAGTGATGTCTATGCTTGCAATGATATTCTTGTTTTAGTTTGAATATTTTGAATTTTTTTGCTATTTTTTCTAATTTTTTTTAGGGTTCGAATCAGAGATTATTATTGTTTTAGACTTTTAGAATAATTTGGTGTGGTATGCTTTTAGCATTATTCTTTGTTTGATGTTAGATTGTACAATAATAAAAATAATAAAATGATTTCTTCCTGCTGTAAAATTTTCTTTCATATCATTTCCCAAATTGAAAAGAAATTGTAGCTCAAAATCTTATTCTCTCAATTTAATAATAAGACTTTATTTCACTATTTGGGATATTTTTCTTACTGTTTTGTAAAGTTATTGTAGAGACTCATCGATGCTTAGCTCAGGTTGTGGGCGTGTACAATTGAGAGCCTCCCAACCTGTGCTCGATTCCCCTCGAGCAGCAGCGCTTCTTAAGTGAGGCCCAATCAAGAGCGGGCTAGGATGTTTTTAGGTCAATTGATGATTAGGCACGCAGTCAAACGCCCTTTCGAGAAAGGCAGCGGGTAGATACTCTGTTCAAAAAAAAATTATTGTAAAGAAAATAACTTTTTAAAATTGTTGTAGAAAGTAGTTTTCTAGTATAATAATTTTTTGAAAGCAACAAATAAGTAGTAGCCAAATATAAATTATGATTGCAGTGTAAAAAGAAAAACATTATGAAAGTTGTCACAAACGAAGCCTAAAATATAACTCATCTTTTCTAGATTGTATGAGACATCTGAGGCTTCATTTAAGACAACTTTCTTACTAATTTCTAAAATAAATTTTTAGTAAAAAAATTGTACTTAAAAGTTGTTTTAAAAAATTGTAAGAAAATTGTCACAAACGAAACTTTAATATTGCAGTATATATATATATATATATATATATATATATATATATATATATTATATTGCAGTAGATTTTACTTATTTTAAAAGACAAATTATATATAAAGTCATTAAATATATGAAATGGAGTTTATTAAATCAATAGAATAGCTAGCACTCATTCATCAAGAAGAAACTAAAATATCAAAAAAAAAAAAAAATCAACTACATCTATAATAACTGACACAAAATACCAGCTAAGTTTTAATTTACTGAAGAGCTAAAACTAATACAAAAATATTGAATGAAGAATTTGCTGCTGCTGCAAATGTCTACTAATTAGCTTGGTAAGCTCTGCTAAGACAAATATTAATAAAAAAAGGATTTATAATGCAAACTCAATGATATAAATGGTAAAAATGCACGATCTATAGTGTGACATTAATATAGAAAACATTATTATTGTTGCATGCTAGAAAATACGCGGCGGTAGAGTTTATGAATTCGCGTCCAAACGTTGCACGAATATTCAGCACACAAAATGAGAAATGAACACAAAGGTTTCTACGTGGAAAACCCGAAAGGCTGAAAGAGGGAAAAAACCACGGGGTCTCACCCAATTGTAAAGTTCCACTAGTGTTTGTTTGAAGTACAAAGGTTGATCCGTCTTACAAATCAAGACGATCAGTTTACAATCAACTTCTCACAAAGTTACAAAGTTCTGCAAATTCCCGGCGTTTCCCGAAAATTCGGCAGAGTTCCAGCGTCTTCAGGCGACGGGAAGAGCTCTGGCGGTGGTCGAGGAGGAGCTTCTTCCTTCTTCTCTCTCTTCACTTGAGTCCCCTTTGTGAAGAATGAGGGCTCTATTTATAGTTTTTCTGGAGTGGCATGGCTCGTAAATAGGTGTGAGATCAGGGGCGAATAGGGAGTGGTTTGAATGGACGGCCGATATTGAACCCTTCGATCGTGCACCGTTCGTTGGACATTTGGAGGCCTTAATGATGTCGGAATTCGGCTATCTTGGGCTAGTTGGATTCGTCTCGTCGAGCCGTTCGATTCGAGTATAAGCTCATTAAAATCGGAGACCGTTTGGTAACTCAAATTGCGGTTTGAACCTTCCAACAGCGCTTCGGGTCCGTGATTTGGACCCATTTGGGCTCGGATTGGGTCGAATTTGGTGTCGTTGGGTTCGTATTTCCGAGACGCTCAGTTTGACTGTAAGGTCGCTGAAATCGGAGTTCAGATGCTCCTGAATTTAATCTTTGAAATTTCCAATTAGTTTTTTGCCTTGAGATTCGTGCCCGATCAAGATAAATTTGTGATGACGTATCAATTATAATATCGAATTAAAATAACATTACATGACATAAATCATAAGAAAATATCGAATATTCTATAAAGATTTGTAGTTTAGTAGTGTTCATATTCCTTCGTATAGAAAGAATAGACACATCAATGTATTTACATGCTAATACATCCATGTTCAACAATGTTCAGCGACGTCATGCAAGTACAGAAATGACTCATCAACCATTTTTATATGTTACGTGTCTGAATATTTCGTGGCTGTAAAGAGATATGTGCTTAATTAGCGTCCAAATTTTATACGAATATCCATCATATGTACACAAATAAGAGAGAGGTGCAAGAATCATAAAAGACATCAAGATTTTCATATAAAAACTCCAAAAAGGAGAAAAATCATGAGGTCTGGCCCGGTTAAAATGATTCTATCAGTATTTATAGTCAATTACAAATGATGTCCTTCGTCCGAGGAATGTCTTAATTGGATTGATGCAGCAAATATACATCTTATAAAGCACATTACATGGTGGGAGTTGCTCTAAAAAGAATGTTGGCTTGTTCATTTGGTCGATAGGATCTTAGTCGAGCGAGCTGTAGTCGGGCGATGGTGGTAGAGGGACCATTGTTGGGTGATAGAGGTTAGAGGGATTATATTCGGCTGGTGATGATGGTCGGAGGGATCATAGTTGGTGGGCTACGGTGGTCAGAGGGACTGTAGTCAGCGGACAACGATGGTCAGAGGGAGCGTAGGGTGCTGGCGATGGTGGTCAAAGGGACTGTAGTTGACGTGCAATGGTGGTCGAAGGGACCATAGTCGAAGGGTGACTGAGGTCGTTGTAGTCGGGCGACTGTGGTAGAGTGGACCGTTGATAGGTGATAGAGGTTAGAATGACTATAGTTGACAGGTGATGGTGGTCGTAGGGACTGTAGTTGGCAGGCGATAGAAGTTGGAGGGATTGTAGTCGGTGGAAGACAGTGGTCGGAGGAACTATAGTTGGCGGGCAATGGATGTCGGACAAAGACTCGGTGATGTCTGTTGGACAGAGGACCAACAACGATCATTGGGGAGAGTTCAAGAATCGATGGTTTCGTCGCGAGGGTTCACCGATGGGGGAGCTCTGGGATGCTTCATGCCTCAAAACTCTTTTGAGTCTCTAGCTCAGGGTGTAAGCCTCTAAAAGTCTTAGCCACTCTTTCATATGAGAATATGGAGTATATTTATAGATTTTGAGTGGTATGCTTTGTAAATATGGAGAAAATCCAGAGCAAATTTGGTGTGATCCATTGGACTGCCCTGTAAAGGCTGTTTTCCTTCCGGATCGTCCGGGAAGAAGTGGATCGTCTGGGACGATCGGTACAGGTTGTGAAGAAATCTGTATGGTTCGTCTGGACAAACCTGGGTTGGTCTGGACGAACCGTTGAGACGAACCAGACAGAGAGTTTCGTCCAGGGACGAAGAAATTGGAATTAAATTTCGTCTGGACAAAATAAGTCCAGTGGGCACATCGTCCCGGGACGATGTGCGATCGTCCAGGACGATCGAGTGGATATTTATGGATTTGAGCTCGTTTTTGAAGAAAGAGAATGCCCAGGAGAGAGAAAATCGTGGAAAGAAGAAGAAAAAAGGATTTTTGAGCAACTCCGGTCCGTTTTCGTCCGTTGCTGTAGTTGGGAAAGTTGATCGACTCGAGGTAAGGCACATTCCACCTTTCTCAATTTTCAGAAACGTGGATTTTGACGACTTTTATGTTCCGGATTTTGTTTCCATTAGCGAATTTCTGGTATTATTTTCTTCTGACAAAGTTTTTACCGCGTAACTTTTGGTATGTTTTTTAGATGATAATTATGCACATTTTGGATATTTTTTGGAAGATTTTAAACGGATATTTTGAATTCTGCGGCGTTTTAATTGAATTGCAAATTATCTGGATGTTGAAAAATTTTACTTCAGTACAGTAAAAGTCTTATAATGTTGTTGTGGATATTCTGTGATAATTTGGTAAATTTCTGAATCTGTGATTTTTGTGTAAATTATGTATACTGCCGTTATGCCGTCGATTTTTCGTACGAATTTCGATTTTTCTGAATTGATACATTAAATGAATTGAAATGTTTGTATGCTATCAGAAGGGAGTTATAAGGGGCCAGGATCTTTTGAGATTCTGTCTGTGCCAGGAAAATCTAAAATCTGAAATGAGCTCTGAAATCTAAAAACAAGTGCTGTTCCGGAATTCCGAATATCTGTTCTGTTCTGTTCTTGTGCTATAAGCACAAAGGGAGGCATAAGGGGACAGAATCCGTAGAGATTCTGTCAGTGCTTGAGAATGGAGGCATAAGGGGTCAGAATCCGTTGAGATTATGTCAGGGTCAGGGAATCTAATATGAATTATCTGATATGAATGTGATTTTATCTGATTTCTGTACGATTTTGATTATTCCGTACGATACTGTTTGCTCTGTTAATTGAAAGCTTTATGATATCTGTTCTGAACTCTGATTTGAAATGACTTCAGTTTTCTGTATAAGTTATTTGATTTCTGTTGATCAAGTATCTGTTCTGTCGGTTCTACGATTTTCATACGGCTATTTTTTGATGTATTTTCTGATGTGAAATTCTGACTATTTTGATTGGTGAGTGATGTCTTGCTGAGTTGTTAGCTCATCCTTGTTTTCTTCGTGGTTTTCAGGTTCTGGGAAAGTGAAGGAAGTCTTGGACTAGAAGTTTTGTGTTTGATCTAAGATTAGGTATTTTGTACTTTTGATTTTTGGTGCAGTCATGACTTTTCTGTTCTGTTATTTTTGTCTGAAGTCATGGATTGTATTGTATATGATTGTTTTGATGAAAGAAAAGATAGATGAACTGTTCTATATTTGGATGTTTATAGTAGCTCTGTATTTTTCTGTCTGTTTAATATTTGGAAGAAAGTCTGAAGCAAAATCCAAAACTAGATCCTGGATTTCAATAGTTCCGTCGCGG